TGTAGGGAAGACCTCTCAGACAAAGGGACACTTGAACGGAGAGCTAAATGAAGGAGACTGTCTTTCTGCAGGAAGAACGTGCTGGGCAGAGAGAACACCAGACACAAATCCCTGAGGTGAGAATGTGCTTGGCACCTGGTGGAACGGTTCCAAGTTCCAGGGCGGCAGACAAACCCTAAGGGATGCTTTTCAAAATTAATTAAATCAAATTCAAATACCATAATATTTGCCCTTTTAAAGTGTACAAGTCAGTGTTTTTTTTAGTATATACACAAAGTTGTTCTATTTTTTTAGAGTGATGATTTGGTTCTGGTTCTGGCCAAGATGAAGCACTGGGGAACAGATTTACCTTCTCACCTAAACAACCAAAAAACAGACAAAATATACGAAACTGGATTTCAAGACACTGGACACCAGGCAACAAAGGTTGGTGACCCCTGAGAGATGGGATGCAAAAGAGGGGAAGGCATGGGAGTTCCCTGGTGGCCTAGTGGTTAGGATTCTGGGCTTTCACTGCTGTAGCCTGGGTTTAATCCCTGGTTGGGGAACTGAGATCCTGCAAGCCAAGGCCAAAACAAACAAACAAAAAACAGGGAAAGGCACCTATGAACGTTCGGCTTCCCAGCTTACTGCCCTGAGAGAGCTTCTAGGCCACAGTGTTGAAACCCAGGGATAAAGAATGTCATTTTATAATAATAAGAAGGTCAATTCATCAAGAGGATGATCCATCCTAAACATTTATGCACTTAACAACAGTGTGTCAAAATACATGCAGCAAAAACTGATCGAACTAAAAGGAAAAAAAATAGGCAAGTCCACAATTAAACTGTGAAATTCAACACCCCTCTCTCAATAATTGACAGAACAAGTAAACAGAAGATGAGTAAGGATACAGAAGACTTAGAGAACACTACCAGCTTGATCTGGTTGACATTCGTAGAACACCCCACCCAACAAAGTGGAATACACATTCTTTTCATGTGCACATGGAATATCTGCCAAGATAGACCATATCCTGAGTCATAAAACAAGCCTCAATAGTTTTAAAGAATTCACATAATATACTGTATGTTTTCTGACACAATGAAATTAAAATAGCAATCACTGACAGAAAGATCTCTGGAAAATTCCTAAATAGTTTGCAACTAAATAATACACTTCTAAATAACCTAAGGGTCAAAGAAGATATAAAAAGGGAACTTAGAAAGTATTTTTAACTTAATGGAAATGAAAACACAACATATTAAAATTTGTGGGATACAGCTAAATGAGTAGTTAGGGGGAATTTATAGCACCAAAATGAATATCTTATTAAAGAAATGTTCAAATCAATGAAATCAGCTTCCACTTTAAGATGTTAGAAAAATTAGAGCAAATTAAATCCAAAGTAGGAAGGCAAAAGGAAACACTAAACATAAGAATGGAAATCAATAGAATTAAATGGGAAAAATCAATGGACTGGTTCTTTGTGAAAATCAATGACATTGATTTTCAAATCTCTAGCCAGCCTGATTAGGAAAAAAGAGAAGACACAAATTACCAATATCAAAAATGAGAGATGTAACATCACTACAAATCCTACGGAATATAAAAGGATAATAAGAGAATATTATGAACTTGATGCCAATAAATTTGATAACTCTGATGAACCAATCAAGTTTCTGAAAGGCACAAACTACAAAAGCTCACTGGAGAAGAAATAGATAACCTGAATAGCCCTATATCTATTAAAGAAATTGAATTTGCAGTTAAAAACCTTCCCACTAAGAAAACTCCAAGCCCAGATGTCTTCATAGGTGAATTCTACTAAACATTTAAGGAAGAAGTAACACCAATGTCATTGAAATTCTTCCAGAAAATTGAAAAAGAGAGAACACTTCCCAAGTCATTCTACAAAGCCAGAATTACTCAGACATTACAAGAGAACTACAGACCAACATCTCTCAAGAACACAGATGGGGCTTCACTGGCGGTACCGTGGTTGGGAGTGGGCCTGCCAATGCAGGGGACACAGGTTTGAGCCCTGGTCCAGGAGGATCCCACATGCCGCGGAGCAGCTAAGCCCGTGTGCCACAACTGCTGAGCCTGTGCTCTAGAGCCCGTGAGCCGCAGCTACTGAGCCCACGTGCCACAACTGCTGAGGCCCACACGCCTGGAGCCTGTGCTCCGAGACAAAGAGAGGCCACCGCAGTGAGAGGCCTGTGCACCACAGCGAAGAGTGGCCCCCGCTCGCCACAACTAGGGAAAGCCTGTGCACAGCAACGAGGACCCAACGCAGCCAAAGATAAAATAAATAAAATAAATTTATTTTTAAAAAAAGAACACAGATGCAACAATTCTAAAAAATTTTAACAAATCAAAGCCAACAATATATAAAAAGATAATATATCATGACCAAGTGGGGTTTATCCCAGGAATACTATCTTGGTTTAAAATTAGAAAAACTAATCAACGTAATTTACCATATTAAAGACTAAAAAAGAAAAGCCCATATGATTATCTCAATAGACACAGAAAAAGCATTTGACAATATCCAACATTCATTCCTGATAAAAACTCTCAGCAAACTAGGAATAGAAAGCAACTTCCTTGACGTGATAAAGGGCATCTATAAAAACCCTACAGCTAACATTATACTTAATGCTGAAAGACTGAAAGCTTTCTCCTGAAGATCAAGAACAAGACAAGTATGTCTTTAAGTCAATGAAATAAGGCAAGAAAAAGAAAGAGAAGTCATCCAGATTGGAAAGGAAGACGTAAAACTATCTTTACTCACAGACATGATCATCTCTGCAGAAAACCCAATAGAACCTACAAAAAAGCCACTAGCACTAATAAGTAATTAGCAAGGCTGCAAGTTACAATATATAAAATTCTATTGTATTTCTATATAGAGCAATAAACAATTGAAAACTGAAATCTAAAAAACAGTATCATTTATAATACAGAGGTAGGTATAAATCTGACAAAATATGTAAAAGGTCTATGCACTCAAAACTACAAAACAATTGATAAGCGAATTAAAGAAGACTTAAATAAATGGAGAGAGATACTGTGTTCATGGGTTGGAAGGCTCAACATTGTTAGGATGTCAATTCTCCTCATATTCATCCATACGAATATGAATCAACACAATCTCAATCAAAATCTAGAATCTTAGAATTTAACTGATTCTAAAATTCATACGGAAATGCAAAGGACCTAGGCTAGCCAAAACAACTTTGAAAAAGAATGAAGTTGGAGATTTAACAGTACCTGATTTCAAGACTTATTATAAAGCTACAGGTACCAAGACAGTGTGCTATTGGTGTTAAGACAGAGAATAGATCAAACAGAATATATGGGCAATCAATTTTCATCAAAGGTACAAAAAAGGCAATTCAGTGGGGAAAGGACAATCTTTTCAACAAATAGTGCTGGGACAACTGCATATCCATATACCAAAAAGATGAACTCTGTCCCACACCTCATACCATATACAAAAATTAATTCAGGGTAGACCATAAACCTAAATATAAAACCTAAAACCATTAAACTTCTAAAAGAAAACATAGGAGAAAACCTTTGTGACCTTGGGTCAGGCAAAGATTTCTCAGACACAACCCCGGAAGCGGGGTGGAGAGTCACCTGAAAGAACAAACTGATAAACTGAACTTCGTCAAAATTAAAAACCCTCGTCTTTGAAAGACACTGTTAAGAGAATGAAAAACAAGCCAAAGACTAGGAAAAAACATTTGCAAATCACATGTCTGATAGAGGACTTGTATCCCAGTGGTTTTCAAAGCCCCCCTCCTAGAATGACATTCTATGATTAATGGCTCTTTGTTTCGAAACTCAGATGGTATAAAGTAAGAATCAGTAAGAATCTAGAACAGTGGTTCTCTAACTTCATCACCTGAAGGGTTTGTTAAAACACAGGTTGCTGGGCCCCACCCTCAGAATTTCTGAACTGCTAGGGCTTGAGGGTTTTCATTTCTGATTAAGTTTCCTGCTGGTGCCCCTGCAGCTGACCTGGCTACCCCACTTTGAGAACTGCTACTCCAGACCAACTTAGACTAAACTAGAAACACAATGTCAGATGCAAGATTCCCCCACCCCACCCCAGGGACAATTATCAAATAAACTATGTTTATTAAGAGAAAAAATTGATTTCCCCCTTTTTAATTAGCTAAAGACATCTATAAATGTTAATCAGAGCTTCTGATGAGACAGAAATAACAAACATGACATCACTGAGTTGGCTTGATTCTAGCCTTGCCTCTTTGTTGAATACACATTTTGGTTTCCACAAAGTTGTTCAGAATTCACCCTGGAAAACATACACAGCCTTATACCAACCATCCCATAATGGCAACACAGAAGAAACTGGCATGCCCTGCTGAAGCCTATCGACTTTTCCCTGACCCCTGCGTAACGCCCCACCCACAGGCAGGGCTGCCATCGAGTCTCACCGTCCAAGATGGCCCACTGGTTGTCAATCTCTGTATGCTTCAGGTAGGAGTCTTCGATGGTGGGGTCATAGTCAGGCACAAAGATCTTCTGGAAAAACTGGATGGTGAGGGCGCTCTTGCCCACACCCCCGTCTCCCACCACCACCAGCTTGTACGTGGGGAGGTTGTCGCTGGGGACGGCACTTGTCGCCATGTTGCTGGTAGGTCAGACCTGGGGAGGCAAGATATGTGGAATGAGACAGGGGGTTTCTTCTTCTCCGATTCAGGGGAAAATATTCACAGGGTTTCCTCCTTTCTTACGGAGTAACAAATACTCCCAGCCGTAGAAAGTTTTGAAAATGAAGACATGCACGAGAAAAGTGCTCCCCCAGGTCCCTCACCCAGAGACAATAACGGTTAAAATGATTTATTCAACCATTTACTGAATGTCAACTATGTGCCAGGCCCGGTCTTGGGGTACATAATGCCACACGGCCTTTAACCAGCCAAAGGCCATGTCAACGAAGTTTTTCCACCATCAAATTCCGCCCTAATCCTGTACAGTTAAACACGTGGGCGTTAGTCTGAGCAGGGAGGGCAAGGAGGTTCGCCTTTCACATCAACTCTGGTCATTGGACTGTGGTGCTGAGAAGAATGGGAGGCTGTCTGAGCTTAAAGGAAAAGACGGTCACAACAGCTTAGCACAGCTGAGCTCAGCGTCTCTGAGCCCCTTCCAACTCTCAGAATTCTGTGATCCTGGCTCTGTTCTCTGATCTCCTTTGCCCTCTTTCATGCAGAAAAGTTGTGTTAGACTCTCGTGACATCTGGTCAACCCCTCTTTTCGTTGGGGAGGAAGAAGAGGAGGATCAGGGATAAGTTTTATTTTGATGATGTTGAGTCCAGTTAAGGCAGTGGTTCTCAACCAGCGGCAATTTTGTCCCCCAGGGATATTTGCAATGTCTGGAAATATTTTTGGTTGCCAAAACCAAGTGGGTGCTCCCAGCATCTGGTCAGCAGAGGCCAGGGATGCTGCTAAAGATCCTATAATGCCCAGGAAAACACCCCCAGAACACATAATTAGCCATCCTGAAATGTCCATAGTGCCAAGGTTGAGAAACGTTGAGCTAAGCTGACTAGGCAGGGGCTGGAAATATGGGACCAGGATCCTAAAGAGCAACTGAGCCTGAACAGATAAGGACTGACTGTGTAGAGGTGATGGCAGAGAGGTGAAGAGTGACCTTTGGAAACTGCATCACAAAGTACCAAGGAGGAGAGGCGGGCAGAGAGCATGGAAGGAACATTCAGGAAAATAGGAGGGAAACCAGGATCTGTCACGGTGATGGAAACCCAGGGTTTCCAGTAGGAGGAGGTTGACAGCACCGAAGGCTAAACACTGGTGGGGGATGAGGGAGGAGGGTCACCCAAAGAACAATTTGAGGGTGTTGCCAGGGACCTAAGCTGCTAACCAGGGAAAAGCACAAACCACCTCTGGTAGGGCCGTTCCTGGGTAGCTTCAGGGCTCATAGAAGGGTAGGGGGGCGGGCAGCATGCCAGGGGACAACGAACTATGTGTCCCGTGTGCAATCACCGCTGCTCGGGAAGGCCACTGACTGAGCCATAGTTTCCTTACGTAATAGATTAAAGGCCTGGGTTTTCACAGTTGTTCTTAGCTCTAAAAGAGTCCTCCATTCTAGATTTCAACAGAAAGGACGTTAGACACAAATGTAGGTTATGTGGCCAGGCTGATTTGCATGGGGCTATAGGCGAGAGTCATTACATAATCTTTTGCAGTTACTGAAGCTTGATGTTGACATTTAGGGTTTCCCTGCAGTGGCGGGGAAGTAGGCGCTTTCATACATTGTGGGTGAGAATGTAAATCTGTCCAAACTGGACTGAGAATACACTTGCATTAATACATCAAAATTTAAAACAGACATATCTTCTCTCAAAGCTATACCACATGTGAGAATGTAGTCTAAGGAGGTAATCAGACAAGTGTACAAAGATGTTAAGAACAGCGGTAAAAATGGAAATAACTTAAATACTGGGGGGCGAGTTAAAGAAAAATTTATCCATACAATGCAATATTATACGGCCATTCAGAAGGACGATATTCCCTAGCCTAGAAAAGGTTTATAATATACATGAAAAAAAAAAAAAAAAGCCAGGCTGCAAAACAGCAAGTACATATGATTACACTTCCATGAAGCTACCATCTACGAATCTACATGTCTAGGGTGGTTCTAGGTATAGAGAGGATTGGCACATAGCTGTCTCTACAGGAGACTTAGGGACACTTTCTCCGATTTTCAATTTTCTACAACAAGCATGTGTTCTATTTGTGTATCAGAAAAGCTGAACAGTATTAAAATATTTCCACCAAATAAAATGTTCGGGCCACCTGAAAATGTGCGACTCCCTCTCCTTCGAGTGGGGATTTAAAACTCCTTTGGTGCGGGATAGAAGGACCAGGTGCCAGCAGAGCCCCAGCATCTGGTTCCCCCATCCCCCCTAGGTGGGGATGACAGTGGGGTTAAGCTGAGTCTTCAACACACTGAGCTCTCCCACGTGACAGAGCTGGTGGTCCAAAGGGGCCAGAGGGGAGGTGAGGGAGACAAAAATGAACCGCTGTCCTAGCCTGCGGAGGATGGTGACACTAAGCCAGCGTGAACGTGTTTGCCTATGAAAGAGGCTGTTTCTAAAGCTCCCTTCCAAGAAGATACAAACTACTATGTATAAAATAAATAAGCTCAGGCTTCCCTGGTGGCACAGTGGTTGAGAGTCCGCCTGCCGATGCAGGGGACACGGGTTCGTGCCGCGGTCCGGGAAGATCTCACATGCCACTGAGCGGCTGGGCCCGTGAGCCATGGCCGCTGAGCCTGCGCGTCCCGAGCCTGTGCTCTGCAATGGGAGAGGCCACAGCAGTGAGAGGCCCGCGTACCGGAAAAAAAAAAAAAAAAAAAAAAAAGTGAAGTAAGTCAGAAAGAGAAAGACAAATACCGTATGCTAACACATATATATGGAATCTAAGAAAAAAAAAAATGTCATGAAGAACCTAGGGGTAGGACGGGAATAAAGACACAGACCTACTAGAGAATGGACTTGAGGATACGGGGAGGGGGAAGCATAAGCTGTGACAAAGTGAGAGAGAGGCATGGACATATATACACTACCAAACGTAAAATAGCTAGCTAGTGGGAAGCAGCCGCATAGCACAGGGAGATCAGCTCGGTGCTCTGTGACCACCTGGAGGGGTGGGAGGGAGGGAGACGCAAGAGGGAGGAGATGTGGGAACATATGTACATGTATAACTGATTCACTTTTTAATAGAGCGGAAACTAACACACCATTGTAAAGCAATTATACTCCAATAAAGATGTAAAAAAAAAAATTCAATCAATCAATCAATAAATAAATAAGCTCCAAGGATATAGCACAGGGAATATAGCCAATATTTTATAATGGTTTTAAATGGAGTATAATCAATAAAAAATTTGAATCACTATGTTGTACACATGAAGCTAATATAATATTGTAAATCAACTATACCTCAATAAAAAAAATTAAAATAAATAAAAATGAAAGCTCCCTTCCCTTCTCGCTGGCAGCAACGTGAATAAAAAAATACTAAGTGGGTGGGAAGGTATCGGGAAGGAAAATCGTTTCCCTTGATTTTCTTCTCAAAATAAAACAAGATGAGAAATACACTAGTAAATATGATAGAGGACCAACCTTTGAGGCGGTGCTCAGACCACGCACAGCAGAATCACCTGGGGGCTTGAAAAAAATCGCCCTCTGCTTGCGAAGCAAGGCAGCTGGCAGGAAATGGTCAGATGAGGGCTGATTTCCTTTCACAGTGCCCTGCACTCAGGAGTTGGGCCCTGACAGACCACGGGGGACCAATCTGGGGTTCCCTCCCACCTCAGACTCAGTGGAACAGGGTTAGAATGCACGGTTAACACAAACCTTGGACTGGGTCCCTCGTGGGGAGAAACCCTTTAGTGCTTCCCATGGCTGATGGGTCAAGTCCTCGCCCCTTCACTGGACATTCAAGTCAGTCACTGGCTGCCGTTGCTGACCTCTCCAGTGGGACCCATGTTGCAGCCTCTGACACTACTCTCTCTCAGGCAACTCTGTGTTCCCCAGTGTGCCCTGTGGTCCTATGGAGCCCTCTGCCTGCCCCACCTCCTACTGGGGCCCTGGGGAGAGCACACACCTCTTCACAGGTCAGGCCCAGGCATCGCCTCTCGGGAGGCACCCCCTTCGACCCCGTGCCCCACAGTTCCTGGTGCAGAGGCCACCACCACACTCGAAGTCTTCTATACTTACTATGCACAACAGGGCAGGGATGCATCTCGTCCCTCCCTGGATCACCACGGCCCAGCACCACATCAGCAAGGACAGACGTCAGCTAGAGGAACTGGGGGCCCAACAATGGCCTTTCTGAACAACCATCAGACAACCCACCAGCCACAGCACTGGCCTCCTCACGCAGAGGGCTCGGGGGCAGCTCTCCCGGCCAGGCCTCGGGACTGTCTCCCTCCTCCTCCCAAGTCAGATGGATCACACAGATAAGACCCTTCCGGGAAGCAAGTGTGAGCCCAGGTTTACAAAGGCGGGACCGTGAGTCCAGAAAACGCCTCAATCTATAAGGGCTCTCGGGCAGATCTTCTCTCGATGCCCATATTTTTCCAGTCTTCAACCTCCCCCGAAATAATCCCTGACTAAAATGATGTCTTTGTAAACAGGGAGGGCAGTCAAAATGCCAAGGGGCGTGCACCACACTCCTACAACATCGGCTGATCTCACGTGGTGTGGAGAAAGAATTTTTAAAGTCACCGGAGGCTATGACGAAAGTCACCACAGGATAAAAAGTTGGTCGGTGCTTAAGGAGCAAACTGTTTCCATTTACGACATCTCTCTCCTCTCCAGTCTATTCAACTAGACGGCACCTTGGAGATCATTCTAGAACGCTGGTTCTTCACCATTTGGGGGGTCACAGATGGCCCCTTCGAGGTGGGAGGGTGGAATAAGGTGGGCCCTGGGCTCCCTTTAAAGTCTCGCCACCAATTTTCCGTGCCTGATACTCTCCAACCCACCAGCTGAGCGACCTTGGGCGAGTTAACCTTTCACAGCCTCAGTTTTTTTACTTGAAAGATAGAGGTGGCTAGAGAATCATCCTTTGCAGGATTGCTCTAAGCGGGAAATTAAAATGTATGAGGCGAGCCCAGC